GAGAACTATGTTCAGGTTCTAGAACAACATATGCTCCCATCTAGACGTCATCTCTTTCAGGGAACACCCTGCATTTTTCAACACGATAATGCCAGACCACATTCTGCAGCAATCACAACATCATGGCTACGTAGGAGAAGGATCCGGGTACTGTAATGGCCAGCCTGCAGTCCAGATCTTTCACCTATAGAGAACATTTGGCGCATCATAAAGAGGAAGGTGCGACAAAGAAGGCCCAAGATGATTGAAAAGTTAGAGGCCTGTATTAGACATGAATGGGAGAGCATTCCTATTTCTAAACTTGAGAAACTGGTCTCCTCTGTCCCCAGACGTCTGCGAGTGTTGCAAGAAGAAGGGGGGATGCCACACAGTGGTAAAAATGGACTTGTCCCAACTTTTTTGGGATTTGTTGACGCCATGAAATTTAGAAACAGATTTTTCCCTTAAAATGAAACATTCTCTCAGTTTAAACTTTTGATCTGTGATGTGTTCTATTCTGAATAAAATATTAGATGTTGGCACCTCCACATCAGTGCATTCAGTTTTTATTCACAATTTGTTTAGTGTCCCAACTTTTTTGGAATCCGGTTTGTAGATTTTTTGTTTTTAACATGGAGATGCTACAGTTAAACTGCGGTTAAACATGGCCTGCTCGAAAGCGTTTAAAAAGGTTATCAAATTTAAGTTTTGCCTTTACTTTTGGATTTGAAGGCAAATGTTCTTCAAAAGCTTGCAAAAATGTTTGATAAATATATCTTTTTAAATGAATAAGCTGAGATATGTCTGAAGAGCCCGAGCTGAAGATAAGATGCTCAGAATATCAGAACGTTGCAGGAAGATGCTGCAGGGCTCCTTTTCATATCTAACCTCTGAGGCACAGGGCCCAGCTTTATTAAAACTCAAGTATATTGCTTTCTCCTGCAACAAGAACGTGCACGTTCAGAGGTCTCTGGCTGACGTCATTTACTGCGTAGACGGGCGCAAGTTCAGTTTGCTTCTCAAAAGACTTTAACTTTTTCTCATTTCTTTTTCCATGATCTCAGTATTTTTTCTTCTTCCACTGAAACAATGGTCAGTAGGAAAAATAAAAATGACACTTGACTATTCAGAATTACTCAGATCATCAGCTTGGGGATATTTATAATCATCCATTCTCAGTTTTTCCACAGAAAGGATGTCTAACTTCAACCCCCCCTTCAAGTGATCAGAAGGTGCTGCACTTTGGCCAGTACGTCAGGTATTTGGTCCAAACATCGACTTGCATTGTGGCCTTTCACCGATTTAACAAGAAGTTTCCATTGTAAAACTGTTTATTCCACTTAATCCCCACTCAGTCACATTTCACTTGTCACAGTTTACGGGTAAAGCTGGAGGAGTGGCTTGTGCAGGTCTTCAGACAACACCAGTCATGTTCCTGCAACTACACAAGACCGACGTATGGCAGGTCAAATCATTGTTTTACTAACGTTTTAGAAATAATGTGTTCAGGATTTATAAACTGTTCCGGCCTCAGGAATGAGATTGTTTTATATAGGAGAAAGATTGTGTTCAAGTAGAAGACAGGAAGTTGAATGTGGCTTGCTTTCGCTTCTATATTTACACACGATGCATCTGTGTTCAGAATATGAAAGCTGCAGAGCAGGAAGCAGCACTGCCTTCTAACCACTGCAGGTACAGTGAATAGAGAGGTGTGCTTAAAAACAAAAGCTTTAGTGTTAGAAATTGCTTTAAATGCAAGAGAATTACCAGTTTATTAAAAAAAAAAAAAAAAATACAAATGCACAAAGCTGTATAGCAAATTCAGTTTATTTACAACTTCAGTAATGAGAAAGTGTTTAAATACAAAAAAAATAAAATAAATGAACAATATGAACAAAGACCAAAGAGAGGAAAAAAAAAAATCTGCTAATCTCCCTGAGCTTTACAAAAGAAACATTGGACTTGTGGCACAAGGACGATGTTCTTTACAGAGCCCTAATGCCACTCAACGAGAAAACGAATAGACTTTAGTCATGCTTCTACAAAACAGGAACGTCACACTGGCCACAAAACGTACACATTTTCCTGTTAAACAATACAGCAAGTTGTTGAATATTACATTTCCAACTAACACCATTTGGTAAATATCAGAAGTCAGTGACTCTGAGTACTGCCTGTAACCCACAGGGTGGACCAGAGCCTCGCTGTGTCAAAGTATGGCTGTTTTCAAAACCAGGAAGACTTAAAGTTCACTTCATAATGTCTGCGCACCACAAAGCCTCAGGGGTTGAAACGTGCATTTGCACATCCGTCACTGGGTCAGTGCATTGCTTTCATCAAGTGCTCCCCCACTCCCCAAAATTATTTGTTTAACCTCAGTCCTCAGCTTCACCTGAAGCTCAGTGTCACATCGTCAGACGTCTGGTTTATGGAGGCCAATGTGAAGACAGAATTAAAGCATAACTCTGGTGTCAGTGCATAAAGCCTGTAAAGTGAAAAAGTTGCACAGCTTAGCAAGGCGTAACAGTACCCCCACCCTACTCATTTACTGCTATAGGTTCTCTTTACTTCCTATGAAAACCGTTAGCCCCCATCAAAGTATAACTTAGACAAAAACTTGTAACATTTTACACAACACCCACCCACTGTTAAAATCACAACATTCACTTCTGAAAGACATTAGACAGCAGTGGCAGGAAAACAAGTGCCTGTACAATACTTCCCACAGGTAGCACAGTTCAGCACGCAGGGATGAAGACTGAAGTCACGACGCCAGATGTTTTGGAGTCAAAGAGCAGCAGAAACCCCGTCAGAGTTTGAGCTGCTTAGTGAACGATGATGAAGCAGATATAGAACGGGCCTCCAGCTTTGGGCCGACACTTCCTGGTGGTGGATGTGACTGGAAGAAGGTGTGGGCCGAGGCTGTGAGTCGCCCATTAGTTCATGTCCATGTCGGAAGAATTTCAGCAAAGGAAAAATGTAGAAAAACTCCTTCACTTGTTTTAGTCAGTATGTGCGTGTGTGTGTGTGTGTGTGTGTGTGTGTGGGGGGGGGGGGGGTCTCTGACAATGACTAGGTCGGTAATGTGCCGAGTGCTCCAGTGAGGTGTGACCAGTGTGAGAAACGTAGAGCTCATCAGAAATGAAGAACAGAGTGGACAGGTGCTGAAACGCCACCTCTACTGCAGAGAGTTTTATGCTGGCTGTCCATTTTGGTTGCTGCCCTCCTCCTGCTCCTCTTCCTCCTCTTCACTGACCAGGAACTCCTCTGGTGGCCAGCGAAGCTCTCCGCTTTCAACTTCTCCATCAGTTGGCTCAACCACGATGGATGGCAGGCGATCTTTGAGCTTACAGCAACGGTCAAAGTCCGAGGGGTCTGGGAAGATCTAAGAGAGACGAGCAAACATTTTAGAGTTGATACAGCAATCAAGGTCCCCCCCCCCCCATTTTATACAAAGATTAGTCAAGTTTTCCCACCTCTTGGGTAAAAGCAACCAACATTTCAGTGCCACACCTTCACATGGCTGATCACAAGAGTTGACAAACATTTGATCAGAATGTCTGAGTGGCAGACCTGCACTCTATTACTCATTGTCCATCAAGCACAAATAAATAAACCTGAGACCGTTAAGATCCATATTGATGGCAAGGGAATGTTTGGGTCTGAACTGAGGACTCTTCAGATCCAACATCCCTGCTCTGGCAGGATTAGGCTCAGGAATAAAGTGAAACAGTCCCGAGGGAGTGAGAGAAATGAATGTCTACCACTCCTGGGCCAAGAACAGCATTTTTTGCTGTTTGGACAGAGCGGGTGAATATTTTTAGACCTGCATATTTCACTTCGAGTCAGTGGAGGTGGGGGTGCAGTGACACTGTCTGGGCAAAGAGCCGGATGAAAAGAAAGCATTCAATGAAGCAGGGGTGAGACGAGAGATATGGAGGAGATCCAGCTGTGTCCGAGTCTTCCTGGGATTCTTTAAGAGACGGATGAGGGAAAAAGCTATAAATATGCTACATGAATTAGACGTTCTCAGACAATTAGGCATGTAGCTCTTCCAGTTACCAGCCATCTGCACATACATGGTCATTATGAGAGAGAATATTTGTGTAATTTTCAAGTTACTCTGCATTTTTGACCTGAATCATCAACTCAGTCAGTGCTGCAGACCTTAAGGGCAGCAAGTGACTTTGCCTTTGGACAATGAACCAACAGTGAAAAGGAGGCGGAGCCACTGAATCATGTTGCCTTTAGACACGATCACAAGTCCGACTCCACCACGCCCTTTAAGTAATTGTTAAGATCTGGGGTTGCAATCATTTCATGTCAAAGTCTTTGATGGAAGTGATGGATGAACCATCACTGCTTCATTAAGAAAAGAAATGCCAGCAACCCCCGCGCACCATGGGCCTCCACTTTTTCCATTTTGTTCATCCCTTTCAAAACTCACAGCTGGGGTGTGAACTAAAGAATTTTCCATCGGTCCGTTGCCTGAATGCATCATAAAGCTGCTGTGTACAGTTTTTTTTTTTTTAAAGTGTCCCAATTAAAACCAAGAAAATTACTCTTGCAATATTGGTAACTCGTCTTTTTACCTGTTCAGTTTATTTCATAACGGGACAATGTACATTAAAACATGAATACTCTACATAAATGCACCAGATTTAGCCAAAGAGGCTACTTTATCTGTAGTCCCCCAGCAGGTTGATGTAAGATTATATAAAATTACAATATACATAGTAACTTACATGACCTATTAAAAAAAGGTATGACAATTTTAAATTACACTATTCTTAGCTATATTTACAGTTAACATTTATATAAAGTGAACAAGTAAACCATAAAAAAAAAAAGTTGAATTAAACGAATGAGTACAATTTTGATCATCTAGTAACAATTTCTTAAAAAAAAAAAAAAAAAAAAAAAAGTATTTGTGGTGGAGCCAAACCATGAAGGACTTTATGTACATGACATGGGAAAACATGATGTTTTCCATAACTCAAGTCACTTTTATAATATTTTACAATGATAAGAATTAGCTCCTTTTGTCCAAAGTTTTCAGAGTATTGGTTGCAGTGTGGTTCCACTCACCTGACACCAACTCGTCATGCAATAATGAGAGAATCAGCATTTAAATATATAGTTTTGAAGCTTATAATGTCAAATTATTCCTAATGTTTAAAATTGCATAAATTAAAATATTATACGCTTCTTAAATGAAAGTTGGGAAACCATTATGATACCCAAGTATTTATAGTCTTGTACTGGTGTTACCATTTGTTTATCCACTGTAATGACTGGGTCTGGTTCTTTAGTTTTGCACTTAGAAAAGGACCTTGGGGTACACTCATTTCAGTTTGAACTACATCCTAAATAAAAATAAACCATCTATTTTAACAGTTTACCATTTGTCTATTCAGTGGATCAGCTCATACTTAATTATGAGGGTTTAATTTTCCATCTTTGACAAGTATGTTGTGACCGACTGTCAAAAGCCTTACTTAGATCAAGGAACGGCACCAATCACACCCCCTCGATCCAATTTGGCCTTAATATTTTCCAATAAAAAAAATAAAAAAAGTTTGCCGTCTGTTGAATAATATTTTCCAAATCCAAACTGCATAGGATGCAGCTTGAATTGAGTTTCCCCAACAAACAGACTTCACCCCCAAGTTTCAGAGTGCCCCTTCCATTCCGTTTCCTGCTCGTTTTAGTTTCATATTTAAACCGAAGAGGTTCAAGAGTTTCCAAGATGGCCTCATTATGCCGACAGTGAAACAAAGCCACCGACAGCCGCCTGTCACATACACCTGACTTATTCTGTTCATCTGCAGCAGCGCTTTCCATCTGCAGTAAAACCAAATACAATGTTGTGGTCAAACTGTCATTTTCAGACAGATATCCTTGACCACAACATATAAATCAGCAGCAGATTTCTGGAATCCTTCCTAATGTCAAACTGAACACATACAAGTGAATATGCGTCTCGTTTTCAAGTGTCCTACCTGGAAGGGGAGTCTGTCCTTGCTCGGGCTGAGCCTCATGTCCTCCATGGGGGTGCTGCTGATAATCACCTCAGTCATATCTCCGACAGGCACGAACACTGGGCTGCAGGGTGGAAAGATGCAGAACGATTAGATTTAACACAATGGCATCTTTGTGGAGAGAAGTTTGCATAAACTTCCTTACACTAAAACACAATGTGAAAGATTATAGTACAGAATTTATGCGTTTACATAAATATTTCTCACTAGGTGGGCAGGTTGTGCCCCACCGAGTGCAACCAGATAATTGGGGCCATGATAATTACAAAATGTCATGCAGATCCACGGTGCGTTCATGTTCCTGTAAGCGCTCGACAGTTCTGTTTAATACTCCGTTACTTGACCACATGTCGGCTCATGCTCAGCCGTTTCAACGCACTGCAAAGCTGCACAGCCCATGATGCTGCTGCTAACATGAGGTGGCTGTTTTTAAACGACGTGCACTCGCCAGCAGGGAACAGTCATAGTGAAAGTGTGCTGGAGGTGGGTTGTGGTGTTTTCATGAAGAACCCAACAAGCTTGGCGTCATATCAGGCAAACTTTCCATTTCAGAAAAAGAGCATGAAGTATTTTAGTTATTAAAGAGAAACTGAACCGGTCCCAGAGCTGATACGTCTTGAGACGAGATGCTGAGCAGCCTTCTCACGCTATTTAAAGCCTGCTGGTACTGGTCAGTGGCCACAGGCTGTGTGGTCCGTGGCTTTTTACGACAAAGAACATTTAACATGACAAGACTGCTTTATCCCCGCATTATACAATCCAGTGGACTTGCACACTTTTCTAGAGAGAGATGTGTGGCCTTTACTTGACCTACTTTTAAAAACCATGGTAAGGTTTACAATAAAACCTGTTCAAGTATGGAATTAATTTTAAGGATTGCTGTAGTGTTTTGATGAGCTCTCCCTTAAAGTCCTGAAGTTCAACACACTACATGACACTGAACGCCTCATCCACAAAACAAAGCCATATTGCATTAGTTTACATGTTTAAGTGAAAGCACAAATTTATGACCGTCCATCCAGTTAAACCCAGTTCATGGTTAAACAAAGTTCTGTGGAACTTCTGAGTGAAGCAATTTGTTTTCTCATGACTCAAAGTTCCTGAGACCGTTTGAGAAACTTGAGCTCATTGTTCAAACTGAAAATCTCATTACTTTATACAATGGCTTACTGTGTAGAAAAACAAGTCGGGTTAAAAGTACTTTAGTTTAAAACCATTTGATTCTTGTTAACGAGTTTGTCACAAATTGCTGTTCTGAAGACAAACAGCAGAACTGGACAGCGGTTGTGAAATTGTGTCTTTAACATGTTTACCGTATTTTCCGGCATACAAGTCAGTTTTTTTTTTTTTTTTTGCATACAACGCAATTTTTTAATGATGTTTTAAATAAATAACACTGCAATAGTGGGTGCCACCCCATGCCTGCTTGCTTTACACAGCTGGTGCAGGCGGAGAAACGCTGGAGAGCTAGGGGCTCTGCCGCGATGCCCAGGCGAAGGGAACCGTTGACCATTAAACGCATAAATTCAACTTTTACACCAGAAAATAATGGTATACGTGGCAATTTACAAATACAAATTAAGAGTCATCTGGATGAAGTCATGCGACAGTCGCCTAATTTCAGCAGAATACTGCAGCAAAGGCAGTTTAACCCTACCTACAATTTTTCCACCAACAAATGATTAAAAAAAAAAAAAGCTGAAGGCTGTACAAACTAAATAAAATGAAGTCAGTGGTGGCTGATTTGATTTTGTTCAATCCCTGAGCAGCGTATGAAGTGGGCGAGGCAGGCATGCTAAAAAGCAGCAAAGAGGATGAAAGAGGGATGAAGAGTGACGGCCGAGACCTGAACCGACGAGACGTGGAGTGAAGGGAAAGAGATAAACACTCGGGCCTTGCCAGTCATATTTCTGTTCAAGGATCATCTAAACATCCTGCTCAGCTAAGAATAACAGAATGTCGCTTAATAAAACATAAAGGGGCACAACAAGGAGGAAGTGGGCGTGCACAAAGTGACAATTCAACCTGGAAGAAAACACGCACAAAAACCACAGTCAGCCTGAAGACTAACACGCACGAGGGCTCATTGAAGTTCAACAATTAACTACAATTACCCATGATTCAGAATCATTGCTACATCACAACATTCAAAACACCAGAAATGACTCAACACGTCAAATCTGTAAGAAACTGATCAAGACTGCCTTAACGAGCGAGGCAGATGGCAGCAAATCTCAACCTTTGACCCCAACATATTGGACACCTGATCTCACCAACTTCCCAATTCCACAACCAGATGGAACGTAGAAACAGTCCCGTAAACCGTCCCAAAGTCAGGTTTCTGCAGAGGCTGACATTCCGTCAAGACCAAGTCAAGGCTCTGGGTCATTCGCACCACATGTGGTACATGAGGTGGAACAAATGTGTACACAGGGTGCCATTTACATCCAACAAGAGTACAAAATGTAACAGCAATAAGATCCAAGATGTGAACTAAGAAAAACGTTAAACTAAAAAACACACCAAGCACTAGAACAACAACGATACAGTGAACAGCAGCACGAACATGAGCCTGAGTGGATGAGTACGAATGAACAATGCAAATCATCCCCCATCAAAAATGCTCCAAGGATTTTAAACATTTTAACTACATGTTAAATAACTAAACTTACGAGAGCCTTAATTTTGGTCCACCTATACTCAATTCAGTATTTATATAGCACCTAATCACAATGAAGTTGTCTCAGGGCACTTTACAGGAACACTCACATAAAAGCTAATTAGTAAAGTTCTCTATCTAAGGAATCAGCAGACAAGATGAATCTTGGCTTCGTTGCCCATCCTGAGCAAGCACAGTGGCAACAGTGGGAAAAAGAAACCCCCAGTAAGGCTGTACTGTATAGAACTTTGATTATTTGGACTGTAGGTGCTACCCAGGTCGTCTCTGCAACAAATCTGAACAGGAGAAATTTGCATCATCAACATACTTTCCCGTCCCACCTCAGTTCCCACCACCACCACTGGAAATCTCAGCCCGTGTGGAAAAGCTGCTGACATTTGACGGTGCTTTCCAGCAGCCGAGCTGCTCTGCAGGTATGAGACGAGAGCGAGCTGCAGGGATGGCTGAGTGAACCCCCCAGGAGGGAGCAGGTCCTTTTCCAGATTCTTGTGGAAGAAGCTGCCAAGATCAGCTTCTCCTGCAAGTTGTTTCCATCTCGGTTCATCTCATTCATGCCTTTGGCAGAGTTCAAAAAAAGAAAGTGTCTTCCTGTTCACACTTCAAGAGGAAGTACTTTGCAAATCCCAATTAAACTGAGCTCAGCATTCAAGTCATGACTGGAGACAAACAGGTTCTCAGAGGTACATTACAAAACTAAAATAAAGGCAGGTGTCAGGTTCAAGAAAAAAAAAGTGGTTACAGTAAAGAGTGATAACTTCCTGCTAGAAGGGCAGAAACCTTTCTGAGGTTTTAATAGAGCTCGCAAAACAATGCTTCAAAGAAACTCATATCCTCTGCAAAAAACAAACCAGCCCATTTCAGGAGGGATTGATCTGCACCTGCTGCAAAACTGAACAAGCTGAAAGTCCCTGCAAGCAGCTCAACATTAAACCCGGGTTTTCTTGACTGGGATGAAACCATTCTCCAAAATGGTTAAATGCAGCAGAACTGAACTGACAGCTGGAGGAGGAAAAATATGAAGGTTATACTTCAGTTCCATCCGCATGGCCTGACATGTTCTAGCTTCAGGGGCAACACCCCACAGAACAATCTAAAAAGGAAACAAGAGTGGGTTTGAGCTAAAAGGTAGCAGCTTCAGCAGGAAAGCACCAACCACAAGCTTCTTTCTTCCCCGTCAGGCTCAACATTAAAAGTTATTCAACCATTTCTCCACAGAAGCTTAAATTTAGCTCAGCATCCAGCTGAAGCTCAAACGTGACACAGAGAGCTGATGAAAAAGATGCGAATACTCACCAGAATACCTGAGGTGTGAATACAGACATGAATTCACCTGCTGTCCTGTCGGGGGTGGCGACGAGTCTAATTATGATAATTGACACCAGCTGCCCTCTGTCCAAGTAAAGGCAGCACGCGCAGACTAAATGACAGCAGCTACGAGACGAGTTTCAGCACCTTCACCGGGCGATGCTGCTCAAACTAACGCGTCTGATCACACGCACAGCTGTGGCGCCTATTTATGCGCGAGGTGTGTGCTCGCGCCGCCGGAGACACGCCTCCTTCTCCGCGCGAGCCGAAAAATCCTCAATGGCAGCTCATTACCGCGGCGGCCAATCAGAGCGCAGCTGATCAGGCCAGGCTCCTCCCCCCTCCGATGACGACAGCAGTTACAGAAGCCGTTCATTGGGAATGGACGAGCAGATGCCGAAACGTGCAATTGATTTGTAGTCTCCAAGGCAACAAAACGAACATCTCACCACCATTTGAATGACAAAAACACACTGATTTGCGCGTTAAGTAGCTCGTGACTTTTATCCAAATGAGGGAGAGACAGAGGCTGGATTCATTCACAAATATATTCCAAGGGCAGATCAATGTCTGCATACACCAGCGGTCAAGAATTAAGGTTTGACCTTTGTATGTGCATGCACAAGCAAGCCTGGTCACATCACAGGTTGTCTGTCCAAACCCTGAAGTCATTACGGTGTAACAATCTTTGTTGTTGGATTCAGCCATATGTGCATGTGACCTCTACTGGAAATCTGACCTTCCTTCTTATAAAATGCCCAGTTGCCTTTTTTTTTTTTTCCCAGCACACAGTGTGCTGTACATTTGGGTCATGAAAAGGAGGTGCTTAGCAATGATAGCTGCAGTTGTACAGGCAGATGGTGACATGCAGGTAGGCCTCCACTGCCACCTTGTGACTAAGTGTTGAGATGACTCATTCATAAAAACATACATTTTTACCATCTTTTTTAAATGAAAGCATTTTTACAAGTAAATATGAATCTGAGTTTGTGTTGTTAATGACTTACAGTTACTACCACACCAAAATTTAGCTCGATATCTGTATGTTTGCAAAGTCAGAGTCACTGTTGTGTTCGGTCAGTTAGATGGGGTGGGCATTTTGAGTTGGGTTCACTTCAAAAGATAATCACTTAAGAAACAAGGATGACAGCAACTTTTAATGCAAGCGATCTTTGTGTTGGAGATAGCGCTTAGCTGCTACGCCAAATTTGAGCTCAACATCAGTCAAACTGGGTTATAAACATTTATGGGTTGGCTCAGGTCAGTTGGAATACTTTAAAGTTAATCGTCAGTAAAAGTTCGCGAAATGTTCATTTTCTGCAAGTGTAAACAAAATCAGTCCAGTAGTTCACGAGAGACTTTGCTAACAGACTGAAAAGGTTGACGCTAATGTTCTAAAATTGTATCTTGTGGGATCAATTAGTGCTCAGAGTACAAGAGGGTACAACTCTCAGGCCAGTTTCTATAAAACTGAGTGAGTCGTAGCTATTTTAGTGTTCTCTAGGTTTCAACACAAGTTTGTTTAAACGTGTTTCACGTTTATTGGTACTGTTATACATCGTGCTACTTGTAGCAGTAATCTTGAATCAGGTTGACTGCAAAAGTTAAAGAGTTGTAGAGGTGCATCCAGTAACTATTACCCAAGTTTCATTAAAATGCAATTAGAGCTTATATGAAGTGCATCATTGACAATAAAAAGACAGCTATTTTTCTGACTGAGACAAAATTACACCATTAACTTTGTTCAAGTAAATAACAAACAACACATACGTCATACTGTTTATGACATGGTGCAAAAAAAACACTTCTATATATTTGCTGGTTTCTGAAACATCTCAGTGGAAATGCCAGTCAGTCTGAATAAAGGTACAGAAGTCTTTTTTGAAAACTTTCAAAATTGGAAATTAACTTCCACATTTAACATATTAATTATATTTCAAACTGTTATTTTTCAATGAATCTTTTTTTTTTTTTTTTGTCTATTCGGTGGTAGTGTTTGTTTTTAGCAGCAGACTGTGGATAAACTGGCAACATAGTCGCCCTGATGTCATCACAAGCAGCTGCTGCATCAGTGAAACCTGTGAAAGCACACGGTGTGAGCTATCACTAGAATTTGGCTCCTAAGAAGAGCTGGTAGAAACAAAAACAAATACAGTGATATATATTTTTACAGTTTCATTCACACAGACTGACCACAGGATGTCAGTAGTGCCTAAGACGTAGAGGTTTAAGGAGAACACCAAATGGGTTGAAAAGATGCTTGGAACAAATTGCATTATTGTCTGATTTAAATATACACCTTACCTTCATATCTGAATAATTGTGAGTGTTGTCTTACATGAAAATTCAAAATGGTTTTGTCCACTATACAATGAATACAAAAGGTATTCACCTCCACAGATGTTATTGATTTCATAAATCAGTCACGGCAAACATAAATGTCCTTTTTTGACAAAAATACTTCAAAATAACCCTTTTCATTGATAAAATGAAAACATATTTCTAAAAAGTATATGCCAATATGTAATAATATGCTATTTCAATCAAGTGATTGCATAAAAATGCACCCCCTTGAAAGTAACTGTCCAAGTTTAACAAAGATCCAGCTTCTTTGTAGCCTCACAGTTAGTGAAGTGAGAATCACCCGAGGACAGTGAATGTATCTCAGGCGATGGTGGCGTAAGAACACCTGTTTCTGGAAGGTCTAGTCACTGATTAATCTGTATTCCTGGTAGGGGATGATTTGAAAATTATTTCCAAAGCCCTACACATCCCCAGGAGTTCTGTTAAATTTATAATCAAGAAATGGAAGACACGTGGGACATGTGTAAATCTCCCAAGACTAAGCCACCCTCTCAAGCTGAGCGATGGTGCAAGATGAAGAATGTTGAGAGGGGCCAACAAGACGCCTGTGACCTCTCTGAAAGAGTTACAAGCTTCAGCAGGTGAGATGGGAGAGACTGAGCATACGACGACTGTCTCCAGGCTTCTTCACCAGGATGGTGAAGAAGAGTATAGGCTACGCCTATACTCATAGAATCTGAGGTTACAGTATGTAACCAACGTTCTATTTTGTATAGGCTTCACCCTTTAAGGCTGTCGCTGGTGGGTTAAGGGCGAAGCAGATGTAGTCTTCGCCTCACTGGGTCCATTCGAACACCATAAAAAGCACCCGCTTGCCCAAAAAACATCTTGTCACTCAGATCTCCATGTGCGAAAATACGCATTGCGTAATTATGCGCACCATGCACAGATGCGCACTGCGTAATTTACGCATTCCGAGTGCATGAATGCCCCAGAAAGGTTTTCAACAGAAAAAGAGGAGAGGCTGAAAAAGGCTGTGAACAGAGCAGATCCACGGCTCTTCAAGATGAACATATTAATAATAAATGAACTGATTATTAATCAAATGAACTGATTGATGACAGTAGTCATGAACTGATTAATAACCATAGAACAAGAACAACAGTCATAACCTGTGACTGATAACAACATCTCACACTGTAAATGCATGCAGTCAGATGTGAGCATTCGCTCAGCCCCCCTCGTTCCGACACTACGCTCTCCAGGAGGGAGTGAGCAGCGGGGGGTGCTGCTGACGTCGCCTGTCTCGGAGGAACCATTCGATTAGCTCCGAGAGTCGGCGTTAAAAGGAAAAAAGGGTCGATGGCGTCGTTCAGTGTGTAGCGACCCGCCACTGAAAAAATATTCCTCGGCACTTACCTTGAAACAAGGCTGCTCATCTGCTTCTCCTCGGGGAGGAGAACTCACCGTGGCGGCAGGAGGTTGGCGTGGCGGGACCCCAGGCAGCCTTAACAAAGGTTGTGCCAGTCAAGCTGGACAACTTCCCTTCTTCATTCTTCTGACAGTGCTATTAGCTTGCTGAAGAAAAATGGGAGCTGATTACCCGCTCGTAACGTAATTTATACGGACCGGGTGGGGCCCACACAACAGGTGGGCGTAGACTAATTTTTTCAGTGCGATGCTTTGCATGACAGGATAAACCCACCAGCGACAGCCTTAAAGGGCGAAGCCTATACGAAATAGAACAGTGGAAAAACTCTTATTCCTAAATAAAAACCTCTGGATTCCCATCCCCAAATTTCATGACTGAGTTACACAAGCACAACCCACCTTCTCTGCAGCTACTGTTTCCTAAAGCACACCCTCTCTCAATCCCAGATACCGGTACTAGTCAACACATCTATTGAATCAGCTGAACGTATATAGACAGTAACAAAGTCCATGCGCAATAATCCAGGTATAAAATCCAACATTTTTCAGTCAGGTCATCTGGATAGTTTCTTTTTTTGTGCTAAAACATTTCACCTTCAATCCGGAAGGCTTCATCAGTCAAGGAAACACACAACAAAACTGATTATTCCCCCAAGAGCTTACTCCAAAGTGGAACAAACCAGTTCTGCTTGTGATAAGATGGTCTCTTTGGTACGCCCCTCCTCCATTGATGGCCCTAGTTTGACAAGACTGTCAACAAGGAAGAGGAAATTTCTAATAAGTGTAAAAATGACTGTATCATACCTAAAACTGCATCATAGATTTTTGAAAGTCGAAAGTTTAAACCTTTCTGTTAACGACTGGGACAGATTATTTCATGTAGGAGAATTCACTTCAAACCTGCAGACATATTATGAAGAATTTTTCAGGCCAAACATGTATGTATGTATGTATGTATGTATGTATGTTTTATTTATTCATTTCATTTCATCCAAACAACAAATATAATACAATTTAAAGAAAAGAAAAAAAGATATACAATCACAGAAATAAAATGAAAGGCAGCAGAAGAAGAATGAGTTCTTATAATATCTGCCCCTTGTCCCCAAAATATATTCCAAACAAAATTACTATACAAAAACAAGATGAATTTATAAAAAAATAAAAAATAATAAAATAAAAACAGCTAAAATATAAGATCAACTGTAAACAATTTTTATGAACTCACATTATACTTAATGTGAACATAAACATAAAGATAAACTTAAACATAAAGCTGCTAGCTTTAAACCTTCCATGCAGTCTGAAATAATCTGTATCCCCTCTTAACACCACCCAGGAAAGGAGAATTCACTTCAAACTTGCATGGGTTAGCAGAGATTATGTGACATATCACTGAGGCCAAACACAAATCTGCTAACTTTAACCCTTTCTGTTACAG